AAGCACCCACATTTCAAGAAAAATGCTACTACCAAGTACAAGCTACTCTTCCGTATCTCATTATCTGCATAGAAGAAACAAATCCTCTAAAATTATTCTAACCAAATATCTTTATCTCTCACTATTTAAAACCAGGGTAACCAGTTTCTTGTTACCTACAGATAGTGATGTTTTGTTGAGGTTTGGAATTGTTTCTTTTTCAAAACAAGACTATCATTAGTACTAAATTACAGAATCCAAATTTTCAAAATAGAAGAGTCCTCCAAGGTCAACCAGTTCAAGTCTATCATTTTACAACTAAGGCAATTGAGGCTAGGAGTTTAAATGACTTATTCAAAATTAAATTGCCAAGATTAAAACAGAGTTCCTGGGCCTGAGTCATGTACGCTTTCCACTGTAATGTGACCCATATGATTTCAGTCATAACATAAAACTGGAAATCCCATTAACTCATCCTACTATTTTACCCCTAAACTTTTTATCTTAAAAATGTGATGTTTTGGAGTCCACTTGCTCAAGGCCTCTTGGGCGTGGCTCCGGATAAAAAAAGTAGAAAAAAGTGACATTTTAAAAGAATCTTATTTCTAGTTCTTGAAGATCAGATCTGAAATAAAACATTTATCATTTGATTTTAATTTCTGAGAGTACAAAAGACAAGCAAGAGGACTAAAACTAATATTGGATAATGTTAATAGTACATTATGGCAAGAAATTATAACACTGGGAAGACTGTCACCATCTTCATAAGAAAGCATCTACTCTTCCCTTCTATTGTACATTTTACACTTTTATTATCTTTCGTTTTATTATTGTAAAATAATGCCATCCAACATAATAAAACCAGGGAATGAGAGAGATAATAAACATTTATTCTATCTACTCATCCATTAAAAGATGCTGATACTGTGAGCATTACTTTGTCAGAGAGATTCATCCTTTCTCTTTCATCCATTTTTACCTCCCTTCACCTACACTAGTTTTAAAAAAATTAAAGATACACTTTTTACAAAAGAATCTGTGAACAGTTTCCTTCAAGTGCCACTTCACTGGCCTCTCTAAGACTAAGTACTTCAAATTAAAAAAACTTTTCGCTCCTAGTATAAGTAACAGATATTTCACAATGAGATATGCTAGATTTACTGCAAGTTTTCTTATTTATCCTTATAA